AAAATGAACAGAATAAAAACATACACCATCAACGACCATATCTAAAGCTTTACTTCTACCACCACCAAAATTTTGTTTCCCAACCTGGTAATTATATTGAGGTCTGACTGTACTTGCTAAACGTAAATTATGGATGCCCTCTATTAACTTTAATATAAACCCTCATTAATATCACTATTAACATAATTTAAAACAGGTTCAAATGAGTTGATATTAATGAGAGTCATCTGTAGTTTTATATGTTAGAATGACCCAAAGAGAAAAAATATGATTGTTGTAATAGATTATATTTAGATACTTTGTAGTAGCCAAATAAGTCTTTATTGTGTAGTTTATTATAATTGCAGATATTATATAATTTTTATTTCTTAATAAATAATAAAGGCAGAATTGCTAAGTAAAAAAAAAAATTATAAAGTAACTTGGTGTACTATTACTAAATAAAAATTAAATTTTATAAATTTTATATTGGTTTTATATATTGTATTCTGCTATAAATAAATATTTACCTTTTGCAATTTTCATATTCAAATTTCTCATAATTTGCATAATTTTGATATTTCAGTCAAACCTCTCTATAATTACACACTTGGGATACAAAATAGTGTGATTGTAAAAAAGTGACAATTATAGAGATCAAATTTATTCTATTTATTAATAATAGATTGTTTATAAAAGAAAAGTGCTTGTATAGGAGGCGACTATAGAGAGGTTTGACTGTATTTGGTAAATATAATTATAAAAGGTGACTATAAAGAGGTTTGGCTACATAAAAATTTCAAACTATGCTTTTTGTTTTCAATAAATTAATACAAAAACCGAAGCGAAGTTAATAGTGCACAAATATGCAATAGAGACAGACGGAAAGTTCAAAGCTACGTTTTTTGATATTTTTATTAAAAATTAATCAAAAACGAACACTTTGCATAAATCCTTCAATACGCTCCGAACAAATCCGGACAGTTATAAACAATGCAAAATTTCAAGAATATTTTATGAATATTTTATCAATAACATTAACAATTGTTTGGTGATTTGTGATTTGTTCGGGCTTAACCAGCAAATATAGTTTTAAAAATATTCTATATTTACTTTTACAATGTTTTTTTGTAATACCGGTTCAAAACTCAGTGTGTCATATGAATGAAATTTTTACGTATTTGTGCAGCAATCATACGGCCGTAGCATACATCAATAAAGGACGACCATCACGCCAAGTGATAAGTTACTAAAAATATATACCGATACCCAGCAACTAATCAAATGCTAGCCTTAACTTTATGTAATGTCGGCTAAATTAGAAATGATCGTCAGTGAAGTAGCACCAAAAACCGATTATGTGATTGACGAATCTTTTTGCATCAAAATTACGTATTAAAATTGGGTTAAAGTTTGACACTAATGTGGAAATTCAAAGGGTCCTGAATATGGGTATGAATATAACTATGTATATACGAACGGTTAAGAATCAAGTTCAGGGGGTTACATAGCATTCATTATGTTGATTAGATCAAGTTCGATAATCCCTTTTACTTTAAAATCAAAATCTATTATGATGATGATGTAATTTATATTAAGGTATCGTACAATAAGTGAAAAACCGGATAAATAAATAACTGTGTAATTCTCAGTCATACCCGCTTTATATATATCTTTATATATGATATTTAAAAACCTTGTTTGTTACATACGGAAAATCATTTACGATTCGGATTTTGATGTAATTATTAAAAACGGGAATCTAATAATATTATCAAGATTGAAACAAGTTGATTTCTTATGGATTATGTTCAAACAAAGGATTGTTGGCGCTAAGAATGTCTGTGTGGCATATAAATACATAATCTCTTATCTCTTCAATAGGAATTCGCTGATTACTGATAAATAAGTATCATTGGACTTTCATCGTCTGACCACTTGGAATTCATATTTATTTGTTTTGTTGCGCCAAATTCTCATTTCCCTAAGCGGTTCTGGTTTATTTTTTCCTCCGAAATCCGCTCCTCATTTATCTATATATATATATATAATTTTTGTTTCTTTTGCTTTATAAAGGTCTTCTTTTTTTTATAAACGATTTTTAACGAAATGTTTACGAAGTTAAAGTTCCTCCTTCTTGCAACTTTATTTTTCTCCTTAACACTTGGAGCCCCTTTTCAATATATTCAGCTGGAAAGTATTCAGCTGGAAAGTAATCTTGCTCCTTTAGTGTCTTCAAGGAACGCTGAAGTAATTCCTGACCAATATATTGTTGTGTTCAAGAACCAACTTCCAAAGGAAAGAGTATCATACCATCATGATTGCATTCGTAACTTTGTTGAAGAGGAAAATTTGAAACTTGCCAAGAGGGGTATACTTGATAAATTGATCCATGGTATTTCACATATTTATGATTTTAAGACCTTTAAAGGCTATGCTGGTAGATTCACAAAAGATGTTTTGAATAAGATTAGACAAAGTGACGAAGTAAATATATTTATTTATTTTTGATATTATCGATATCATTTTGATGTGATATCATGATCTGATTAATTTTGGTTCTTATCTAAAATTTAGGTCGCTTGGATTGAAAAAGATCAAGTAGTCTATGCTTCTGACATTCAACGTAATGCACCTTGGGGTTTGGCCCGTATTTCTCATCGACCGGCCTTAACATTTTCAAATTACAACAAATATCTCTACGATCCACGAGGTGGCGAAGGTGTCACTGTTTATGTCATAGATACTGGTATTAATGTCAATCACACTGACTTCGAGGGTAGAGCTGTATGGGGGGCTACGATTCCTGAGAATGATGAAGATATAGATGGTAATGGTCATGGTACTCATGTTGCCGGAACAATCGCTGGTAAACGATATGGTGTAGCAAAAAAGGCAAAAGTCGTTGCTGTAAAGGTTTTAAGATCCAACGGTTCTGGTACTATGTCTGACGTCATTAAAGGTGTCGAATTTGCTGCTGAAGCTCACCAACGAGAAGAAGAAAATGCCCGTAAAAATGGTCGTCGTTTCAAGGGGTCTGGTGCCAATATGAGTTTAGGTGGTGGTAGAAGTAAAGCTTTAGATATGGTCGTTGATGGTGTATGTTTTTATTCTGTTCATTTTTTTATTTTATTTTTTTATTATTTCTATTCTAAAAAATAATATTTTGGAAATTTACATTTTCATAGGCTGTAGATGTTGGTCTCAACTTTGCCGTTGCTGCTGGTAATGATAATCGTGACGCTTGTGATTATTCTCCCGCTGCTTCACAAAATTCTATCACTGTTGGTGCTTCTACTATTGGAGATGAACGTGCTTGGTTCTCCAACCATGGTTCATGTGTTGATGTTTTCGGTCCCGTGAGTATTTTTTTTATTCGTAATTATATATACTTAACCTCTAACTGTTTATTAATAAATATTTATTAATTTATCCTTATTGTATTTTATTTAGGGAAAGGATGTCACTTCTGCTTGGATTGGTTCACGAACTGCTACCAACACTATCTCCGGAACTAGCATGGCTTCTCCCCATGTTGCTGGCTTAATTGCATACCTCTTAGCTCTCCAACCTGATAATGAATCCGAATTCTTCTCTACACCTATAACTCCAAAAGTACTCAAAGATCTGATCATTGAGCTCTCTACAAAGAACGCTCTTGCAAAACTTCCTGCTAATACCGACAATTACTTGATATTTAACAACTTTAATGAATAACAGGACTTTTATGCTTAATTTTTCTTGTAATTACAACCATCTTAAAGAGAAAGGATGTTAGAATCAAGAACATTTTAATTCTTATATAAATTTAATTTGGATGGTTTTTCTTTTATTAAATGTGTATGTTTCATTGTTATTAAATTTAATAAAGGATGTTTAAAACTACTCATTGCTCTTATTATATTGTTTACAGTTAATTTACATTTATGGTAATTCAACAAAAAACTGAACTGGTTCATTTGAAATATCTTTTTTTTTTTGATTTTTTAACTATTAATTATTGTGACGGATTAAAATGCAATGTAAAAAATAGACAAGCCACCGAAAAATAAAAATTTGAGGTGCATTTTTTAGGGTTAGATAGAAACCCTCATTTCATTTTAATCCATGATCCGGACATTTATTAGTCTAAAATGGAAAATTGATCAAAAAGTCTTTTTTTTTTTTTTTTTATACGTACGTAAGGCTGCGATAGTTTGTGGTATTTCTTCTAAAGCTTTTGCAATCTTTGCTTTTCTGTACTAGTAGAATCAACGCCTAAATACTCACAATTTTTTCTCATATCACTATTTTCTTCTAACTTTTGGTGCTTTCCATCTGGCTTTACCTCATAAATTGATATATTAAATATTGGTTTAAAATCTGATGATCTAATATTGCTTTTTATTTGATCTGATGATCTAATATTGCTTTTTATTTGATATAATTTTTTAGGTGAAATGTATATTGTTTCTGTTCCTTTAATTACAACAGAATTATCTGTTATTACACCCTTTATTCCCTTTATTGTTTCTGAACAGAGATTATCGAGTGAATACGTATAATTTTTTTTTTTTTAGATAAAAAATCCGAATACGTATCATCAATCTAATTAAATTAGGTTGTAATACATAAGTATAAATTATACGTACAAATATCACGTAATAAAAACAAAAAATTATCACCATTTTTGTGGATGTTAATAATCAATCTTCATTCTTACTTCAACATGTTACTATTTTTCTATGCTACTCTGGTGTTTAAAATATCATATATGTGCAGTATATGTATAGTTAAGATTAGGACGCAAAGATAAACCGGGTAAAATTCACCACCCAAATTTATCTCAGATTATGCTATATTATGATTTTAATGAGCATCATTTCATTACAGCATTCTAAGTATGAAAATAATATTCGCTAAAATCATATCGTATCCTATTTATAAAATAACGTGGTTGGCACAAATATTTAACAATATCTAAACCTTTTTGATTTTGTTCGTTTGATCCTTCCAATTTTCACTTTTAGAAATTTCATTAACATACGTATCTACATACGTATGTGGCATTCAGCATCTTTGCTTTATCGTTTTTTTAAATAATGTAAGTATGTTTTATTAATATGTTTCTTAATTATGTATACAACATGATAATTTTTACTTTATTAATATGTTATCAGTATCAGTTATCGTTATTTACGTATGGATGGAGCTTGCTTGCTTTTATTTAAGTCTGATTAATGCATCCGTTAATTCTAATTCAAACGTGAAATATGATAGCTGTGATTGATAATTTCTTAACCACCTTATTTTATGCTAAAGGTACATTTAAAATGCATTGGGAGAACATATTTTTCTGCATCGCGAATCTCGGGTAAAATTTCCGGTTATATACTATCTTTATCGCTATGACAAAAATACCTGATATATGTCATTAATTCTTTGTCATTAGTTATTTACCCGATATTCGCCATACATAAAAATAAGCTTTCCCAATGCACTCCCTCAACATAAAATATGGTGTTAAAATCTCTATTAAAAGTATTAAAGTCTTTTTTGAGGATACTGTATTAAATTTTAAACACCTAGACCAATACGCAAAAAATAAACTTGAAATTCTTGGGTTTTGGATTCTCAATTCACTGGATATGGACTTACCGGCTCCTTAAAAAAAACGTACGTAACCGATAATAATCTGCTAACTTCACTTATTATATTTTCAAATTATCATTATAATATGGTGGTAAAATTGGACGTATGCGGAATTTATTTTTGTTATATAAACGTTTCAAATTCTTAACTCAGGCATCGGGCACAACTTCTTGTTGTTCACTACTTGCCAATAGTGTTTGTATAAGAAATTGTAACTCATACGTTCGATTAAGTAATTCTGTTAGGTGGTTTTTTTGTGTTTCCGATTCCTATGATTATTATCAATGTTAAAAGAATCCATTTCTTTATATCAATAAATAAAAACAATAATTATAATTGTTCAAATATACTTGAAGAAGTGTATCACGCGTTTCAATTAGATTTTTTATTGCACGATCTTTCTCTGTTTCAGTTATTTCCATATTACTTTCCTTTTAGAAGGTCATCAAAAAATAATATATATTATAGAAAAAAAAATATATATAATTTTATTTTTATTTAAAATAATGGTTTACCGTCTCAATCTGTCCTATTATATTACTCAATTCATCTGAAACATTTTTATATTTATTTCGACTTTCAGTTACTTTTTGTTGAATTTTTTCGGTATTTTCGCTTGAAGAGGTTGCTAGCGTGGCAAATATTTCTTCTACTGTATTAATTAATTTGTTAAGAGTTAATTGTCCATTAATGGCTAAACCTTCAAGTAGTGTTGGATCTCTGTTCGTTTCTATATTACTAATATCTGCCATATTTTCTAAGCTAAATAATTCTACACTAAGAAAATAAAAAAAATTCGCACAGTAACCGATTAAAATTATTAAAGTTTACAACCAATCAAGGTACTATATGGCAACTATGATGTTCAACCAGTGTTACGTAAAAATTCGGCACAAATATGCTGTGTACAGTTAGTGATCCATTGAAAAACTAGGAACTGGAAGCCGGAAGCATAAAATATCAATTATTTAATAGAATAGAATCGACCAATCAACATTCATAAAAGCTCGGAATATCTGTGCTATTAATCAATTTTATAGTACTCCGATAGGGAAAATTAGTAAACCCCAACTTTCCAACTAATCGATTAGAAAAATTTTAAAACAACTAATCGATTAAATCTTCAACTAATTCTATTGGCTAATCCGTGTTGATTTCTTTAATCTGATTGGCTAATCAACAAATTTAATCAGAATAGATTAGTAGCACTTTAGTAGCGCAACCAAAATTCAGCAGATCAGCCCGAATTTAGGGTCGGAATGGGCCGGATTTGATAAATTTTTTAATAAACTGGCAGCCTATATATTAAGTAAAATTACTCAGCTACTAATTTTGCTAGCATTACGGCGCATTTGCGAAATTAAGCAGACAATTTGTCACCAAATTCAAGCATTGGTTCCCCAAATTAAATTTTAGTTACCGAATTATATACTAATCAATCAATGTTAAACCCCGAAAAAATTATTTGAACCCCTGATCTGTACTGATAACGCGTCCAACCCATCTTTCCCATATGTTAACCCATTTTCCCACTCCCATTAGACATAAGAATTTATAAAATGATGCAGCATAACTTGGGGAATGTTGATTATCTCAGTTAAAACCTATATTTACGTATTAGTAGTCAAATTTTTAAAATTTTGGGGTATTTCGCAAATGCGCCGTAATGGCCAGTATTATTGTTTAATGCCGGCCAAGCTCCGGCTTATTCCGACCATAAATTCGGGCCGATCTGCTGAATTTTGCTTGCGCTACAAATCTATCCTTGCCAACTATAGTTGGCACCTAATCGATTGACAAAATTTTACCAACTTGGAACTCTATGCACAGTAATCGACATCTATAGTGCATTATACATAAAGTTGAAAATTTAATAAAAATTTTAAAATGTATAGAAAATACTTACAGTAATTAAAATTTAAAAAAAAAATTTGTTTGCATTTATGTATATATTAAAGAACATATTAGCATTAACAATAATTTTAAAAAATTACATTTCTAACTCGTACTGTATATACTATAGATGCCAAGAAAACATTTTATCAGCATTATGTATGAGGTTTTATCACATAATAAAACTAATAAACTGATTTTAATATACTAAACTGATAAAATAAAACTGATAAAACTAGTTATGTTAAATATATTAACTAAAATAATTAAACTACCGCTATTATCAATTATATAAAAGTCAAATTATTATAAAACATCAAACAAATAATTTAACAATTCTTTACTTATCTCAATATGTCAAATAATATTGATAATAATTCAACTGCTTACTGTAAAAAAAAAAAAACTCTTTCCGTCTATCACTCGTATACAAATTTTCCCCAGCTTAATTATTTCAAAATACCTTATAACTTTATTTTCTACTAAGTTAACCTTAGTTTTGCTAC